AGGACCAGAGACTTCACATATCGCCCGCTTTTGTTACCACGGGTCGCCCCCGTATGTGGAGGTTTCCGCGTCGTCCGGTTAAAATATGACGCAGTGATATTTAGTTTCTGTCTCCGTGCCCGCTGGCTTGCCCGAACCCCAAGAGATGTGGAAACTGCAAAAAAAGGAAGACACTTAAATTGGATTGCAGGGCCTCTTTAGGTGCAACCCCACTCTTGGTTAGTGTGATTCCGAACCAACAGATGGCGATGGGATCGCCTTTCAGACCTGTATACATGAATGCAAGAAATCTTGTGTGGTGGCGCCTTTGATAGTGTGGTATTTTTCTATATCCTGAAATTGACACCCTCTGGTCGTTTGCTTGGTTTTTTCTGCGCGAGCTTTCTGTAGAACGCGCACGGCTTCGCCAGTTTCTGTGCAAGGGGGCCAGTTGCCTACCCCCCGAGCTCACGTCTCCAGCAAATGTGGGCAGAACAAAACGAGCAAATCGTTCTGAGCTAATGGCGAGACACATACGCGTCAAAACAACCGACGCGTGTAAAAATACAAGATCGCTTGTGCGTAATTAGTATACAGGGGATTTCGGTGGCCAATTTTACATATTTCGATGCGATAAAGTTTATATGACCTTTTGTCGTGCATGCGTTTGGCTCTTTATGAATTTCCAGAAAAACCTGGTGACGTGAGAGACGCGGGTTTCGAAAATATTTGCTTGAGTAATTAAATACCACAAAATGAAAACAAATAAACTATCTATTTTGGTCAGGTGTCTCATTTAGGTTACTTGATGTTTATTTTTGAGCAAAACGATATGAGATTAGAAAAGAAATGACACTCAGGTGTAAATATTGAGTTTGGTAAACCCAAAATAAGACAAGTGCGAGAGTTTTACGCTGAATAAAGTAATGCCAAGGTTAAAAATTCACTCACAACATTAAATGAGAATTATTTTAATACGAGTACAGTTATAAATTCAGTGACTGGCCAAGCCAAGATTCTGCGTGTGTGGATAGCTTTTGCACAGAATTTAAATAATGTAGCAGTCTTAATTTGGTGTTTTTTTTCGCGAAAGCAGTGATTTCGAAAAGCTAAAAATATGCAAAGGGTGGAGTGTGTGGTTGTATAAAATATGGTGTAAGTGCGCACATCGCACGCTGATTAAGATTGAAACAGCGCTACATTTAACACTACCTTTGATCGCATAGAACGCTAAGTGTGCATCGAAAACTAAAGTCTGTACACATATGCTGCTCAGGCCGTGATGTTTGAATGTTCATAGTACTTCACTACCTTTAGATTTGGTACTTATTTCTTAAAACAGAAAGAAGAAAATATTACAACTCTTGAGTTGAAGGAAAAAATCCACTTGCTGAAAGCTACCAATCATCTCGGCGCCGATTATGAGTATTCACTGCATACCAAGGGTCGTGTGCTGACAACGAGTTTTAATGCGAAAGCATTAAATGTCTCACGCAGAGAGCCGACGTCATCAGCTTTGAAACCATGCAGAACGGCACCTTAATGAAACCACGCGCAAAGCTAGCCAACGGCACCTTTTACACTTCGGTCTGATTGGCTGGCGCGCGTCGACGAGGCTCCCATTGACCGCTGCGCGTCAATTTGTGTGGTGTCATCCTGACTATGTGATCACACTGTTCGTTATCAGCGATCACCGCGTTCGCTCGCTTCTTATCAATTGTACGGCGCGTGGCAGTATAGACCTTTTCATTAGGGTTATAGCAGAGAGGGTAAAAACAGAAAGAATTGCCCTCCCCCTCTCACCCGGATGTCAAGTGGGCAGTACCTAGCATCCGGCTGGCGTACAAACTCTGTTTAAAATCGCGTCATTTTGGGAATTTCAAGCGCAGATGCGCAGATTTTGGTATGCCAGTTATCGTGTATTACTGTGCTAGATAAAAAAGACTATCAGATTCCAATTGCGCTGTTATCTGCGTGCAAATAAAAGAAAATAGGAAAAAATGTGTCAGACTGGCCGGTCTCTCCGGCGAAAAATGAATCCTGTGGCTGTACCTTTTTTACTATACAAAGTTCGTACTGGTGTAGGCCTTTAGCGACCATGAATGGATGTCTGAAATAATAAGTAAAAACGTGCTCTCCTGCCGCAATACACGCAGTAGTTGAGGGTAGTACTGCCGGCTGACTGAACTGCTGTTTAAGTAACGGAAAAAAGATATGGCAGTTGATCATTTACCGATGTAGAACAACAGAGAGCTCTAGGCTGATTTTGGAGTAGCCGTAACTATTCTAAGAACGCGAACCACTTCACAACGGCAGCCACGAGCGAGAGTTCGATGTTCGCCAGCCGATACAGCCCAAAGATGGAGAATGGCAACCTCCCGTTTTGTCGTCTGCTAGCGGAGTCGGACGCGTGCCCTAGCTCTCTCTCGTTTTACCCCGCCGAGCCCGCTGAATTTCCCGGATGTATGGAGAAGGCGCTGCTGTCGAACAAAATGGTGCCGCCCAGAGAGCCCTGAATGGAATGGATCTTGCAAATACTGTGAAACCTGCCGCAGAGTTCAGAACCGGAAGTGTTTGAGGGCTATTTGGACACTGGCACGACCACGCGACAAAGAGCGAATATGCGCTTAGTCCAGCATGCCACCTCCAGAGCCCAGAACGCTTGCGTTCATCGCTTTGGAAAGCAAGTAAGACGCGCCATATGCGCGAACGCCGAAAAGGGCACCAACGTGAAGCTTTTCATGAACGGGGAAATGCTCCAAGACAGATCTCTGGAGCAGTGAAGCGAGCTAGTGGTGCCAAGCGCACGTCCACCTTGAGCGCCGAACAATGCCAGCACTCACCGTCTTCACTTCTGAATTCCACCTCAGAGTTGTCTCCAAGTTTCGTGCGCTGCAGACACACCATCAAAAAATAACCCTAAGCGGAAGTTGAATTGGGATGTGAAATTGGCCTGGCTTTCGAAGTGTCTTTTGCTAAGCCAGAGAGGTGGCGCCGACTAAATTCGTAAATATCTTGAATTGGAGATAAGCTTTAACAGTGATATCCACTTATCAAGCCTGCTAGGCTAATTTCCCGGTAACGAGAGCCGCGCACCACAGTGAAGCTAGACACCCTCTCAGCGTTTAGTGCCTTCATACACACACGCACTATTGCCTGAGGGGTGACATCTCAACATATTTTCCGCCCAGTTTTTTCTTCGTACATTTCTTTTAAGTGCACGTATCCGGTGTGATTTAGCTTGAGTGCGGAGCCTCGGCTAATGCTTAGACGCTATTTTACCGCACAAGTCACGCACTGAGCGCGCCTGCAAGTCAGCGCGCTTGCCCACTCAGCGCAACAAAGGACGTCTTCAGCCTGAGACAGATAGGAATGTAGGCATTCTACTGGAGTGAGGAAATACTATTCAACATGATTAAGACGGCACTCGGTTTGTTTATTGTCCCCGATTTGCCTGAAAGGTTTTTAGGCAAAACAACAAAGCTCGCTGAAATAGTAACCGAAATATTGGGGCGAAATAATTTTTTTTTGGCGGAGTAATTGAATATACAACTTTGGTCCTCACCGTGTTTTTCAAAGTGGAAGCTTCTACTGGCAACAATGAAAAAGTGACGTCAGCAGAAGGTACGTGTTAAATGTTTGGACTGTAGACTTTGTTCCCAACTGATAGCTCAGCTCGGAGCACGTGGAGCGAAAGCTCGCGCTGCAGAACCCAGGATCCTGAGTTCAATCCCCGCCCCTGCCCGTTTCGATCTGGATGAGCATCGTACCGGCGTGCGGTCGTGTATCACCACTGCGTGGTGCACGTTAAAAAACCCAGGTTAGCGGTTGTACTGCACTGGCTAAATTGCTCATCTACAGCTGCGACACCAGACTCCCACAGAGGCAGACTAACTTCCGGCTATATAAACATACACACAACAATTTGCTTTTTGCAACTAATAGCAAACACTTTCATGGTGTCCAATGAATGCTTTGGAAGCTCGGTTCAGCACCCGCGCAGCAGCACGAAAGAAATGCTCGGCGTAGTCCATTTCTAGATTGCCCGCTTGACCTGCAAGCTTGCCGTCCACTCTCGTCGCGGCACTGAAAAGCGCGTGTATATTTGAATGTTGGTTCTAGCGTCATTTTCACTTGCCGATTTCACAATACCCATTTTGAATTTCGTGATCCTAAAAAGCATACCGGACAGTGTAAACGCCGGTGATTGCGAACATATAGTTTGTTGGGGTAGCTAAATAATCGCCGGAGTACTTCTTTAAAGAAGGGCACAGAAATCAACCAAAACAACAAACAGGGACAGAACGAAGAAACATATAAACAACAGAGAAACGCAAACCCACCAACTCTTCTCTTCTTCTCTTTCTCTTCTTTTTTCTCTGTCTTTTTGTGTCCAACCATATTTAACCCTGTTTAATGCACCACCTTACAACAGGGGAAATCCGTTCTGTGCATCCAGTCCTCGAATTCTTCCCTCACGCGCAGTTTTCTTTGCATCAGTCCCTTGTTACCTTATTGTTACCTTTTTAATTTACTATCTTTGCGAGCTCTGCGCGGCGCAGCTGTTAGGCAGCCGGCCGACCTGGCGGCGAACTCAGCGGGAGAAGAGATCGACGCCTTCCTTTCCTTCTGCTTTCAAGAGCGAGCATTTTTTTGTGGAAGAAAGGGCATATTTTGTTTTGGAAAAAAAAAAAGTGCTTTGTCCTTGGTGATATGGCAATTACCTTCGCCTGTTACGTTGGACCCGTCCGTGGCGTTAACGTTTTCGCGACGTCATATTTTTAAAATGGTTGTCGGTGTTTGGAAGAAACTCGAAACGTGAGTTTTATCAGGGGGCTTTCGAAAGAGGCTCATTAAAAATCAAACAGCTTATTTTTCAATTAAAGAACTTTATCTAAAGGATTATGAAACTCGTTAAAACACACAAATATATATAAAAAACTGCACGCACAAATATATAAAGATTAAAAACAGTGGTGAGATACGCGCTCTGTCTAAAACGTTTCGGAAAAGAAAGACTCTCAGAGACCGGACACAATGGTTTTGGACAATGAGCTCCTCTTCTGGTCACTGCTTCGACGCAGCCAAGTGGCGAAGGCCTCCAGGTTGGCCCTCACCTCCAGTTTGGTGAAAGCGAAGAGCACGAATGCGCCCTGCAAACTGTTCAGAATGACAAAAACGTACCAGAGCGCCTGAATGTTGGCGAACGGAGCCACGAACCCAAACGTCCAGGTCATCCCCATGACAAGGGCGAGCTTGAAGTAGATGAGAAGTCTTCCCTTGCTCGCCCTATGCCGGGCTTGGTCCGTCCTGGACATGGTGCCGGAGATGCGGACAACGGACATCGCGAACAGCGCCATGTTGCTGAAGATGATGGAGGCGATGGGAGCGGCGAAGAAGACCAGCAGCGCCATCCGGTTGGAAATCCAGCAGATCCCTTGTCCGTAGCGAGGCGAGAACGAGTGCCGAGGCAGGAGGAAGTCGGCCCCTCCGGCCGCGCACACCACCAGAAAAGGCATGGTCCAGCAGTAGGCGTTGAAGGCGCACAATGTTTTGCCGCGATTGGTTTTCCTGGTCCGTACGACGCTAACAAAAGACCGCCAGAGGTCGAACGCCAGAGCATTGGTCCAGAAAAAGCTGGCGAGAAAAAAATAGTGCACCAGAAGTCCAACCGCGACGCACAGTGTTTGGTAGTTTTCAACGATCAGGATAAACAGGAAGAGAAGCTGTGCCGCAAAAATAGAAACGGAGAGCATCAAGATTAAGTGGTCCGGGAGCTTTTTGACGCGCGAAGTGAAGAAGTACAGGCACATCTTTATGAGAAGACAGCTCAAGGATACGACGCTGCCGGCGAGCGTAAAGTAGCCCCCAATGTCCTTAAACTTGTACATGGACATCCTCGGCGAAAAAGCGCAAATGAGAATGGTGTTGTGGAGCAACTCGTATTCGCCAGGCACCAGAAGCTCGCCGTTCCGTAGGGTGGTCGTGTAATTGTTCCAGAGTGTGAACTCGTCTTTGTCCAGTGCCACCTTACTGCAGTTGGACGCGAGCAGCGTGTGATGAACGGCGCTATTGTACGCCTTCATCAATGCTCCCGCCACGCAGCGGCCTTCTTGTTTCTCGTAGAGCTGGCCACAAACCAAGTTTCTGCAGCGCTCTTTCCAGGGGTCGTACGCCTGGTTTGGAGCACAGCGGTCCTCCAGGCCCACCTTGACGCCCCCTCTGGCGAAGTCGACGTCAATGAGGAGGGCGTAGGACGGCAAGAATTCTTCTTCGGGGATAGACTCTTCGTCCCATTCCGTAGAAGGATAGTCAACTAACCTGTCCTCCGGGCACCTCATGTCTTCACGCTGGACACCGTAGCAAGATGCACAGAATGGATTTTTGTACGTCAACCTGGTCAGCTGGTCGGTCACAGGAGCGAAATAAGCGCGGCATCCTTCTTTCAGCTTTTCGTTGCGGCTGTGGAAGTCGGCGGGACAGTCTGCGATAACGTCGGACTTGCAGACGCGGAAGTACTGCTGCGGCTTGTGTTTGTGCATAAAGTCCGGGCAGCTGAGGAAGAGGGGGCATTCGGACGGGTTGCTTCTGGGCGAACAGGACCCGGGGCGCTCGCTGCTTATGGACCGGAGGAAAGCCTTCCACATCTTGACGTTGAAGTCGCGGTTACAGACGGCGCAACGAACGTTTCTGTACGTGATGTTGGTGTTCCGGCTCGTCACCGGGATGTCCAGAAATGGGTCTCCTTCGGCGGCCGTCTCCTCGCACTCAGCACGCACCTGGCGGTCGTGCCAGTCACGGGCGCAGCTCGTTTTCATGTAGATGCTGGAAGCCACGCCGTTAGACAGTCGCACTCTGCTGCAGGACATGACGGGTTCCTGATACGTGTATCCAAAATCATGTTTCAGGCAACACGACCCGTAGTCTACGCATGACTTTCTACAGTCACAACGCGGAAAGGCTGAACGTGTCACGTTATCGAATCTTTCGAAAAGTGTGTCTGTAGGACAAGCTTGCTGATCGTTGCATGCGAGCTGTCCGTAGGTCTCCCGCAGCGATAACTGAATTGATTTGGCGTCCATGACATGAAGTTCTGAGGGTGTTGTTGATTTCTCAGGGATCCGGCGCGGTTGATAAGTCAATGCATGGCACGCAAGAAGCCCACCGAGCACAATGGTTGTCCGTAGCATTTCCAGTGCTCTCATCTGCCACTTCGTCTTGGTCACGAAACAGTCTTGTCAGGCCCAAGATCACCTAGAAAAATAGAGCAGGAAAACTTTTAACAATTATCAACGAGCTAAGCATTAAAGCGCATTGACTAGATTACCGCAAAGGGAGCATTCTGACAAAGTACGGCCTTTACTATTTTTCTCAGACATTTTCTGTGTGTATGTGTGTGTGTGTGTGTGTGTGACCGCTTGTAATGATCGAGAGGCGTGACTAATATAATATTTATACAGGGTGTTTTACAAAACATTGGCCAAATCGTTCATGCATAATAAATTAATCGCTCAGGAAAAGAAACAACCGCTGATATCCTATTGGTTGGTGGCAGAGGACCTATTTAGGAAAATTAGTAAAGTTTAGTACAATTCGGTTCTTACATACTTTTCTGTAATTAGCTTTTTAATAAGTAAATTTAATAGAATTATTTCAATTGGAAACGCTCTAGAAATCCTCAAAAGCATCTAATTCAAACCATGCCTTCAAATTTAGTAATTAGAAACGTATTATATAAGAATAATTATACTACTAATTATACCGAACGTTATCAATTTTCCAAGATACATCAAAAGTTTTTTGGGTTTTGTTTTCAATACATCAAAAGTTTTTTGGGTTTTGTTTTTGTGCGCAGGAGTGATATGGTTAGTGTTTCGTGAAACATCCTGTCAGCTGCACTCCTGTTCGCATTACAAATTTAGAAGTATGAACTCGACACTTAACGTAGCATATGTCAAGCAGTTTATTTTAAACGCAAAGCTTCGACACTTTTAATTCTCTAGGTTTAACGTCGCACCCTGCACTTATTTATATTGCCAGGAATGAAAGGGAAGAGACGATGAATAAGTAACTAAAAATAAAGGATTAATCAATAAACTTGTGCCACGAAAAAAAAACAAAAAACGACGTCGAGAAAGCAGCAGCGAGCGTCGGCGCGTCGGCGTGAGAGCTGGCTAGAGCGAGAGTGGGTGAGACGGCAAGACCGCACTCGGCTCCTTATCTACTACGCTCGGTCTCTAGAATAGTTGACCTAGAAAGTTCGGGACTGAGCCAGGGCGAGACTGACCATAGTCTGTACCCCGCACATCCCTAAGCTGTGACTGCGATGGAAGCTACGTCCTCGTTGGACTAGTCATATGCCTCCCTTTCGCCAGGTCATCATGGTCCCGCTCATACCCACGAGCAGAGAGCCGGCTCAGGTGATAAGAGGAAGGCGGCTGAGTGGTCGGGCGGGCACGTAGTTCCCACCGCAGTCTTAGCTTATTGGTGAACAGAGTATATATGGCAAGGCCCATTTTGGCCTGTTTACCTTTTACACTCGGGGTAAGGATAAGCACGAGTCTTCTAGATATACGGAGAAGCGTTCGTTCTCGGTCGTTCACGCGGAATTACTGCCCCTTTAAAAGTACATCGCCCCGGTGCAATCTTAAATAAATTAACGCAAAGCTAAATCAAATAAGAGCTATCAGTAAACTGCGGGTTCGTCTGAACCATAAGGCCCGCTTCAGATGGGGCAAGTTTCCCAGTAGTTTTGAGGTTGCTCGTGGGTTGTTCCCTAGCTTTTCCTAGATCGACACGAATTGGTGAGATAGGGTCCGGCCCTCGAAACGGACGAGCAACTCGAACAACTCGGAGCCGTTTGAAGCGGCAGCAGCCAATCAGGGACGCGATATGTTCACGTGACACCCCCATAGTGGTAATGATGACAGCTAAAGACTTGGTTCTGGTTTGAAATCAATCGTTTTTGGAAATAAACCTTTTCAAAAAGAGGAGTTAGTATTCTCAACGCCATTTACAGACATAAAAACACGTTTTTAGCGCGTAGCTGTGCGTCTGAATAGTGCAATAAAATTCAAATCGAATGATGATAATGGCAAGTCATAGCAATTTGGTTACTGCTTGTGAACGCAGGTTGGTGGTGTTGCGACGTCAAGTTGCTGGGCAAAATTGCCCCGTCTGAAGCGGGCCTAAATAGTCCTCAGTCCTATCGACCACAGTAGGGCTCGAGACGCACGACGTGCACCGCCTCAGGTCGCGGCGGGCGGCGTCCCGACGATCGTGTTCCGTCTGGAAGCCCCTCGTAGTTCAGGTCTCCGAGGCGACGGAGTACGTTGTGCGGTCCCCAGTATGATCGACGCCAGGAGGAACGACCCGAGTACGTCCGCCAAGAGTAGTCGGCGTCAAGGAGGACGGACGTCTGGAGAACGGCTGACCGACCCCGAGAGCGAACACAAGCGTCGCTGCGGTCGCCGCGCCCTGATTGGGTGAGGTGTACCGTGACGTCAGGCCGAGTACCCCGCTCCGCGATCTCGCATCGGGTCGCTTCCCAGCACCAGTTTCCTGGTTTGGCGTTGTGTGCCGCAAGCTCTTCGAGGAGCCGGACTTCGTTTACCCGGTGTACAAGACGTTGAGATAGGCCGATATTAACGTGCTTCCGTACATTTTATAAGCCTGCTTGTCTCTTTTACCTTTAAAATTGGGTTACAAATCCCGAAAACTATCGGCGGAGGCAATTACGCCGATGAACCTCCCCGTCCGTCCACACGACGCAAGGCAATCTTGAGAGGGGTCGGTGAAGCGGTGACGCAAGTGTTTCAGACGCTGGAATTCTGTTCCTTGCATGTTCATGATTTAGGACGATATTACATCCCGCTTTCAAGGCATCTGAAGCGGCCTTTATATCATGGGCCTTTCGGTGGTCGGCAAATTAGCTCGCGACCCCGACTCTGCGCTCCCACTCTGCATGCGCTGGTTTGCAGATGTTTTAAAGGCCCTGCGTCTGATGATCTTTGAAGTGCTCATGAAACAGGGTTGTTTTACATAAATGTAGCTTCTTCCTGAATTAATTATATAGTTTATACGCGTATGCAGGCATATTTCTTAGAGGATCCACGATTACTGGAAATTAGTTATGTATGGTAGCAGCAAAAACGGCCGAATTTCCCCAGTTGCCTCTATGATATGCAGTAAACTGCCCAAAATATGCACAGCAATAGTGCCGTAATTTGGAATGTTTATACTTTTTCCTGACATTCTTTATTCCAGCCTTTGGTATTCGGAAAATACACCGTTAAGTCTGAATTGTCATTTCCATTTAACAGTCACTGCCGCAGGTCCCCAAAAGCTTCCTCAGCCTCCAAACTCCCTGCAACTGGACTCTCTGACAACAGAGGGAAACAGGAGTAAAAGCAAGCATTCGAACGTCTGTCCAGTGGTAGATGCAGCACTGGTAGCAGAAAATTTGGAACCTGTGAAGGGCGACAGTCTGCGTGAGAAAAGCTTCTGGTACTTTAGCTTCAGGACAATTCGATTTAAGTAAAATCTAAATTTTAGGGCTTAATGGACTAATAACGAGCTAGACACCTTAACTTACGTTTGTTATATATTACTTGAGGATTGATATAAACAAGTCCACAGATACCACCCGTGTAGTCCATTGAAATACTATCCGAATCCAGCAAAGGTCAAGTGCGAGCAATGAATATAATAAATGTTCCTTGTTTTTTTTTTTTTACTTTGCCCGTGCACTTGGGCTGTCTTACTTGTGATTCTCTCCCCATGGCCGAGACTGTATTTAGCACGTTGCTCGAGCAGCATGCAGCTTTTCTGCTTCGGCGATCTTGTTTAAAGACAGAGATAAAAAAAAAAAAATAGTATAATAACCTGCCAATTCATTCGGACCATCAGCAGCGTTTATTGTGCGAGATGTAAATCTGTAGTGATGCCCCTGCAATTGTGGCCATATTTCTTTATTTTCACATACCAGCTGTGGTTCATGCGTTGCCTGGCCTGTCAGCCATGCTTAAAATGTTTGTTGAAGTTTCGCCTGTAGCCACAGGCCATACCTCAATAAAGGCGTATATAAAAATTTACACTTCCTACGAAAAACACGGAAAAAAAATTAAATAGAAACGAGCGCGCCGACAGCTAGCGTCGTCACAGCGTCCACAGGGCGAGCGGGGCGAGTCGGGGAAAAATTCTCTCCTCGCCGTGACGTCACCCCGGTTCGCCGTAAGGGGGCGCCAGGCGAACTTCTCGGGGCTAATACTTCCGTTGCGGGGAAGCCGACCACATTTATCGTCCATACCCCTACCGGCAACTTGCGCTGCGCGGGTTCCACCCGAACGACCCGCGCCCACGGTACGGTGAGCGCCTACGAGAAATTGACGAGCATCTTCGCCATCCACCGTCTCCTGCCCACGCTTCGCCCCGTGGAGCTCGCTCGCCTCCACAGCGACGCCCTGCATCGCATCTCCGTAGGTACTGCCGGGCCCGCCCGTCGCCTCTCCCTACATGTGATTCCATTTCACAAAGCACTACTAGACAGCTCTGCGTCCTCGGATTCGCGAAATGTGGAATATTATTTGTGTAGTCTTAATTTAAACATCAGCTGATACCGAAACCGAAACTTCGGTTCCGTCAGGCAACATTGGTCTCGTGTAGTCAGAGTCATGGCCACGTCACGTCGAACCATATGGTCTCGTGACGTTCGTGGGGGCGAGGGACAGGACACGCGACGTGGGCAGGTCGCTTCGCATGGCGTGGACCGTGGACGGTGATGGCCTGGGGGAGAGGGGGAGAAGACGAAAGAGCAGAGGGGGAGCGGAGAAACGGACCGATAAGCGCGCAGGGCAGCGCAAAGTAGCGC